AGTGTTAATTAAACAAGCATGAGAGTGTTAATAGCATTTTGGTCAAAGCCAGATCTTTTACCAGGATCTTTGTTGCATAGGGATATGACAAGATAGTTCCTGGACATTTTGCACAAAAGTCCTGTGGTTAGAAAAAAGAAAGAAAATATTTAAATTTCTCATTTCTAATGTGTATTGTCTGTAATATGATAGTCTGAACTATTCAATATTTACAGACCAAGTTGAAAGCCTATGTACAGGAACCCTCAAAGAATGTTTGTGTAGAAAATGCAAAGTTAAGCCTATGATATGTTGCACAGTATGTTTTCTGTTCCCCAGATCTGGTTAAAGGCCGCCTACCAGTGTTTAATGTGTACCATGATCTGCCATAAGAAATGTATTCAACGTTGCCAGTCCACTATTACTTGTCCAAGGTAAGATTTCTTTAAAACATCACTTATTTGATTCAGTGTTACATGTACATAGCTTAAGTGCACCATGAGCTACTGACAAATATTGCTTTTTTAAACAAAATTGTTCATCATTTATTATGGCCACCATTTTTACTGGAACGCCCATGATTATTAGAATTATTACAATTTGCTACTGGCTTATTTTTTCATTGACTTTCAGAAACGGGAAGCCGCCAGATGTGCCAAAGCCAGTACAGGAGGAGAAGACAGAATCCAACTTTCATCGAAAGAAAGAACACGTCAAAGAAGCAATACTCACTCGACTGCGTAAGAAAACAGGGTCATCACCACTGATCACTGGCAGCGAGGAGCTCCTAAGAGCATCAGGTTAGATGAAAGATATTTTACGGCTTAAATCTTTGTTAGTCTACGACAATTTAGTTGTCATCCAAGATGGCTATTTATGGACATTTCGCAGCTTTCTGTTATGACAAAAGGAATGACAATATGATATTTGTTTATATTCTACAGAATTTTGCCTGGATATTAGATAGAAAAAATTATTGAATTTTGCTTGATTCTGATGTGAGATAAAGCAAAAAAGTATTTTCTAAGTGATTTTTTCCCATTATTACATCACACAAAATGTATACCTTGCTGCATTTTAGGAGAAGTAAAGATGGACCTACCAGAGAGTACAATGGGGAGTGGAGTGAAGGATGATAACTTTGTCCAAACTAAAGCTAAAAAATCCCAAAGACGAAGACTGTCCAACAGTGAATCTGCAGAAACTAAGGTTAGAGAGATAAGCAAGTTATAAATTTGAAAGAAAAGTAAAATACTGGACATTGTTATAGTGATGAAGAGATTTGAGTATATCTATAGATTATTGTTTAAAACAGATGCTTAACTTTTTAAAACTGAAGAGGTTTTACCACTGCCAAGGGGGTTACATATATATTTTTGTCCTTGTTGATTTGTTATTTAAACACCTAACTTGCAAGTTTTGATAAATTTTTTAGGATAGGTCATCAGTGGGTGAACTTAGAACCAATTAGACATTGGTGATCCATTATTAATACTTAGTCTAATGAGAATTAAAATGTTTTGGCAAGAGGTCTCTGATGGCTTTTCTTACTAGTTATATTCAGCATTTTCTTTCTTCATAGTTCTTGAAATAATGATTAACTTTTTAAGAATCAGTCATTGGTGTGATAATATTCTGATATTTCTAGGAATTTGACTCCTCAGAGACCAACAGTTCAGACTCGGAGGAGGAGTTGAACCTGATCCAGTTCCTGCAGAAGCACCAGAAGACGCACCAACATGAGGAGCAGGTGGTCTCCAAGGCCAAGGAGATGGGGAGAGATCTGCATGCAGACCTGACACCTATTGACAGGAGGGATAAACTAGATGCCATGGTAACTAGCCCTGGAAGTCTCTTGCTTTATATGATAAATGATGTACTATTTTTATATTTAGATATATGTATATCTACATATATTTAGAAAGATGACACAGCCAAGCAGGCCTGTAAGTCATAGAATTGTTCTTATAATCATAATCTACTGGCATTCTGCAAAACCCAATTATCTCTTTAAACAAATTTGAAACAACATTTGCTTTGACCTTATTAATATAATTTCCTGTTATTGATAACAGATAATTAGGCCTGATTTAAGCAAAATGAAGTCTAAAACTCTCCTTCCACTGTTATCAAATGTAATATTGGGAACAGTATTCTTAAAGATTGCACTCGTTTTTTCAGATCACAAAATTCCAGCAAGAGATAGACCTGGAGTCGGAATTTCGTGCCGACCTGCTGAAGGAAGAGAAGGAGGCAGTGCACCCAGATCAGAAAGTCCAACTGAAGGCCAAAGTGAAACACTCTGAGGAGAAGATCCAAGCCCTGGGCTATCTCATGCTCCATTACTGTGCAGGCCTGCAACATTGTCTGGATCAGATGGAGGAAGAGAAGCAGAAGAGAAAGATGACCTCTGACGCTGCTAAGGTGATCTCTGACGCTGCTAAGATGACCTCTGACCCTGCTAATGCTACAGAGGAGAAGCAGAGAAAGGAACAGGGAGAAGAGCTCTGACTGTTTACTTCAGGGGTTGTAACAGAAGGAACCGAGAACGGGAATTATGAAAACTGCTTTTTTTTTCACACATCATATTGGGTTTCTGCTTTTCTCTATTGACCTGGGAGTTGCAGTATCCACAAGGATTTTAATTAAGCAGGTGTCTACAGAATATCAAAAGTTGTGCTCATAGTCCCACATAATGAAAACTGAACTTTACCTCTTTTTTTGAAAGTTCTGGACTTCTGGTGTTTAGACCACCACAGTATTGACTGGTTTGTGTCCAGTTGCTCTTTTATTCTCTGGAGAACCACCTGCTAAGATAAGCAAAGATTTTTTCTCTTTTTTGTCCTTGAGATTGCTAAAACTACAGTATCTCCTTTGAAGTATACTTTGGAGACTGATATAGACGGACAATAAACAATGAAATATAATCAGTACTTAATCTTAATATGATAGTAGGTTGTCTTGCACATATAAACCCATGTTGTGCACAGGTATATATAATATATATATATGAAGCTCTGGCTTGACTGGTCATAATTTCATGATGCTATATTTTTTCAGTTATTGACTTAGTCAAATGCAATTCAAACTCAGATTGTGCATAAATTTCTTATTAATTTGATTAATCATATTTTTTGACCTCTTTGACTTAGATTTATTTTGTAATTTTTTGAAGTTTGTTTTACCTCCAAATGTTTTTATTAGTTTTCTCTGTGATAAATTGAAATCACAAAGCAGTTTCTTAGCTTCTTTGTAATTGGTTACTTCTTTGAGCAGTGCTCCTTGTTACACCGCGTTGCCGTAGGAACAGTGCACCGAAGCTGATCTTGCCGTCTTTAATGCATTTACTGTGATAGAACTTGGATGGAAATTGTTTACTTGCTGAATATTGTCGTGAGTTATATGCTGGAACATGTAGAAGAGCTTCTAAATCAATGCATCATGGAGATTTCAGTGTAATTACTGTTGTTTTGTGTGAATTGTATTATTTATGAAGTGAATGAGCGCACAAATTTGAATAAGTGAAGAATAACTGAAAAGTGCAAAACATTCCTACCAGAGTGAAGATGGTTATTAAACAAGCCCAAATATAAATTTTACATTTTTTTTTTAAATTAGGTTGCTAAAATTTTAAAATTTATTGATCCTGTGTGCTTGGATGCCACATGAGTGTTTTAATAATGTCTGTAATAGTGTTGTCTTTGCAGTCAATAAATGTATTGTATACTCTTAATTGCGATGTTTATTAATACTGGATTGTTAGAAGAAAGTAGGAAGAAATAGCTCCTCAAACTAGAGGTGGTTCTGGGGCAGCTTAAGGTGGAAAAAAACTACCAATAATTTTTTTCAGATTTAAATTATAAATGATTGTGTCTATTTAATAGTGAATTAACCAGAACCCACTCGGTAAGAGAAAAAATTTTATTTGAATTTTGTTAATTTTGGTCAAAATAATATGAGATTAAAAGTGGCAAAACATCAGGTTCAGCATAAAATAGTCATTACTTAATTACTTAAGGAATGTATTTTCATAAATCTACTCAACTCTACATACAATATATTATTGTAAAATTGCACTTTTTCCTTTTTCAAGCATTTCAACTGTGATAATCAATGAATAAATTTTAACTGTGCCATTTCTGTTAATGAGGGGAAAAAACGTTAAACCTCTACCTCTTTTACAATCAATGCAAGAAACCCAGTTAATAATTTAACCAGTTAATTAGTTATTAATTTTCATAAACATGGATGGTCACTGATTTGAATATGAGCCAATGGAACTTATATGGTATATAACCCAAGGCTTCAACTCAATTGTCAATACTAGCTGAATATATATCAGTTCCTAAGCCTTGATATGAGACTTTGTGCTAAAATTTTACTATAATTGTCAGCAGATGCAATGGTGTGCCTCCACATTGATTGTAACAGCAAAATAAGACTCCATCTTTACTGTATCCATCTCATTAGTAATAATTATCTGTATTTTTCAGTATTTCCTTGGGCATCTGAAAAAAGTTGCAAAATTCAACTCGAAATTCTATTTTTAAGGGTAAAAGGATGTTTGATCAAATCACTGTACATTTTTCAATAATATGTAAAAAAAATCTAGTTTTTCTGACCAGTTTCTAAAACTGGCAATATTTTAAATGACAGAAATGTGATCATGTAACATGACAGACCGGCTTTGTACATGTACTTACAGCAGGTTAATTTTTTACTCCCACATAATTTATTTCCTTCCCTGTCTTTTTAAGTGCCTCTAGGAGTTTTTCAAAAGGAAGTGTGGATGTCACAAACACTTTCTTGGCCTCCACATCCGTCTCCACAAGGGTCACATCTAACAAACAATCAGCTCCGTACAATATCAAGAAAAGTAGCAACATATTTCAGTACCAATGAGTTATCAGTTAATACTAAGTGGTACTTCTAAAGTTAAAGATGCTCCCATACATATCTCAAACTTCACAACAACCAAATAAATTTGCAAAAGGCTATACAGGTTGGGCAAATGTTCAAACACCAACTAACATAAAACCAAAATTAGACTTATTCTTAGGGGGAAAACATAATAAATCTAGATACATTTCAATAGAGAGAATAGGGTTTCTATTTACCATCTCCAAGTTTTCCCAGCACTCTCTTTGCTGCATTGGCGCAGCCGTCACATGTCATCGCCATGTCAAACTCGTGGACCTGCAAACAGAATACAGTAGCTTTATTATAAAACTGTTGAAGACATTGGGGGCAAAAAGCATCTTATAATAAAACTGTCTAAAGAATTAAGACGAAAAAGCATCTTATTGTAAAATTGTCCAAGGTATTGGGATAAAACATCTCATGTAAAATTACATAAGAACTGAGAAAATGAAAAAAAAAAAGAATCTTATTGAAAAATTGCCTGGAGCACTGACGCAATAAAATGTATAACTATCGGATCAGAGTGGGGCAAACAAGGATCTTATTCAGAAAGTTGTCATGAGCAAAGCATTGGGACATAAACTTTACAAAAAATAATAATAAGATTTATGATTGATAACTATGCTATACATCATTCGAAACCTTCTCATTGCTTAATAGGTTGATAAAAGTAAAAAAAAAAACATCGTTTATAAAATCTCAGTTTGAGAACATTCATGTAGTACTAGTAGAGGCTGAACATGGTGTCAAATAAAAATTATTTCCACAAAGTCTTTGCAATGCATTGAGGGAAATTTGAAACCAATAATCTTTGCGTCAAATATATGTGAAGTATTTAAGAATGAGGTGTTATAAAACGAGAAAAAAAACTGAAAATGAAAGTGACACTACCCCAGTACAAAGGTTTCGAGAGGCGACCGGCATATTTTCTCAGGCGATCACTGTGATAAATGTCAGCGTTTTTCTCGAGCCATCAATGTAATATAACTCTTTAACCTTTTATGAAACAGCACACTTAATGTCCAAATATACTGGGTTTTCTAACACTACCAAAACAGATAATAAAAACAGACGAGGCGTTTACCTGTGCCATGCTGGTATATTGTATTTCCGGGTTTCGTCAAAACAAGGATTTCCTGTTTGGGCGGAAGAGATAGCGTGCAAAATATCATTCTTCATCTAAACATAAAATGTTCCACGTGTTTGCTATTACGAAAAAAGCAAAAGTTACTAAATGAGTACAAATGAAAATGCTTTATGTTTATCTCATTCGTTTTAATTTATCAAAACTAAACAACATGGCAAATTTCATACGAAACCCAAACAACAGCAAACTACCAGTCTTACTGCCAGAGTCTGTAACAACCTGTTAACTTCTGAGGAGTTAACCAGCCATGAAAGTCCCAAGATGAGAAATACAATCATGTCTGTGACCAGTGCAGGTGCTCTGTTGGTACTGGTAGTTGCAGTCGCTGCTGTCTCTGGACTTACGTTGGGACCCACGGTTTGTTTGTGTGTGTGTGTGTCAATTGATCTGTGTTTGTGTGTGTGTTTCGACTTCATACATCTTACACGTATCAATATGTACATTATATTACGTTATAGGGAATATGTGGAAAAATGAATTTTTTCTGCTCTTTAAGTCAATCATTGTAGTACAGGGCACATTCAGCACAGATGGTCCAAGGCCTAACTGTTCCCCAGACTAAATATGGCTGACCCCACTTCAAAAGCAATGTCGCTAATTCCATGATGGTTTCCTCGCCTCCACACGTGCCGCCGCTGCAGGGGCCTAGCAATTAACCCTTGGAGCCGAGATTTATTCTGTTTAATGGCTCATGTGGAGACGGGGCTGGGACCATCGGGAATCAGCGATATCGCTTTTGAAGTGGAGTCTGCCATATTTAGTCAGCAGATCTGTTAGTGTGCAGATCATCTTGTTCTGAATGTGCCCATTGACTTGTATCTCTTAGTTCCATGTAAAAGAATTGACTGACTTTATGTGAACTTTTGTAATGACGTATATTATAGTAGTATAGCTACAGTACATGTATACGTATACATGCATAACACAACTTAATTGTAATATATTGTTAAAATATGTGTATGACTAGTATATGAATTGTTCACATGTTAATTTTCACTATTTACTACATATGTATCCATATACTTGACATTCATAATAAGTTGAATATTTACTTTATTCGCCATATAACATGATCATTTCACACTAAGTAAACATTCTGGAATATCTCCTGTTTTATAATCATGTAATTTCTGTTATCTGAACTAAGATGAGTGATGATTAGATAATTGTTTGAGTATTTTTTCTTCAGCAAAAGGAGGAGTGTGCAACAGGGAAATACCCACCTCCAAAGACGTAAGTATGGCCATTATAATAATGTTTGATCCAGGCTAGAGCACGAGGGGTGTGTGGCTCATTTAAACCCCTTCCCCCCCCCCCCAACCCCTATTTCTGCTTTCTCCATGGATCTGTTTATGTATAGACATGCAGGTGGAAACTTGATATCTTGATAACTGCTAAAAAATTAACTAAAGCTAGAAAATGTAGAAAATATAGAAAATTTGGGATGAATACTTCCATACATATACTAGTAAATATGTTAAAGAAACAATGTGCAGTTGATTAATTAAAAATTATTATCATTAATATTATTTATTTTCTTAGAGCTGAGTACCAGGTCCCTAAGTATGTTGTCAACCTAGATCTTCCTGCTGCTGACAGGTGGACACATATAGTGAAAGAGAGAGCAAAGTCTGTAAGTAGGAAACTAATTTGATATGAACGTATAGTTTCCTGTGTAGTTATATGTTCACCAAGTTTATTACAAACTCACACAATACAGTGTCAGCATCATGCATATTACTGAAAACTTGCACAGACATTTTTTCACTCACACTATCTGTTAAGTGTTACACATCTGTTATCATTCATTAATTAATTCAGTAATTAATTTTTCTTTGACTTGTCACTTCCAGATTGTTAACCTGCTCACGCAATTTAAGGACTTTTTGAGAGCTTTAGATCTTCAAGTTGCAGAGATGTTTATTAATTATATAGACCATAACTTTGTAAGTACATCAAATCTTAACAGTGTCTTATGTGCATAGAACACTGATCAAATGAAAAAAAAGTAGTGAATTAAAAAAAAAATCGTTTTATTTATTTATTTATTTATTTATTTATTTATTTATATTAGGAAAGGCTATGTGGGCACAGCTTTTTTACGTAATAAACCTGCTACTTGAATATTTTTGTTTTCTACATTTCATGACACCCACAAGTTTGGTTTAAATAATTCCAAAATTCAGTTCTTAGTAATGGATTTATAAGAGTGCAAATGTTATATTTGTGTATTTTAGGGGAATTTAACNTTCATACATCTTACACGTATCAATATGTACATTATATTACGTTATAGGGAATATGTGGAAAAATGAATTTTTTCTGCTCTTTAAGTCAATCATTGTAGTACAGGGCACATTCAGCACAGATGGTCCAAGGCCTAACTGTTCCCCAGACTAAATATGGCTGACCCCACTTCAAAAGCAATGTCGCTAATTCCATGATGGTTTCCTCGCCTCCACACGTGCCGCCGCTGCAGGGGCCTAGCAATTAACCCTTGGAGCCGAGATTTATTCTGTTTAATGGCTCATGTGGAGACGGGGCTGGGACCATCGGGAATCAGCGATATCGCTTTTGAAGTGGAGTCTGCCATATTTAGTCAGCAGATCTGTTAGTGTGCAGATCATCTTGTTCTGAATGTGCCCATTGACTTGTATCTCTTAGTTCCATGTAAAAGAATTGACTGACTTTATGTGAACTTTTGTAATGACGTATATTATAGTAGCTACAGTACAAAAAAAATGTACATGTATACGTATACATGCATAACACAACTTAATTGTAATATATTGTTAAAATATGTGTATGACTAGTATATGAATTGTTCACATGTTAATTTTCACTATTTACTACATATGTATCCATATACTTGACATTCATAATAAGTTGAATATTTACTTTATTCGCCATATAACATGATCATTTCACACTAAGTAAACATTGTGGAATATCTCCTGTTTTATAATCATGTAATTTCTGTTATCTGAACTAAGATGAGTGATGATTAGATAATTGTTTGAGTATTTTTTCTTCAGCAAAAGGAGGAGTGTGCAACAGGGAAATACCCACCTCCAAAGACGTAAGTATGGCCATTATAATAATGTTTGATCCAGGCTAGAGCACGAGGGGTGTGTGGCTCATTTAAACCCCTTCCCCCCCCCCCCAACCCCCATTTCTGCTTTCTCCATGGATCTGTTTATGTATAGACATGCAGGTGGAAACTTGATATCTTGATAACTGCTAAAAAATTAACTAAAGCTAGAAAATGTAGAAAATATAGAAAATTTGGGATGAATACTTCCATACATATACTAGTAAATATGTTAAAGAAACAATGTGCAGTTGATTAATTAAAAATTATAATCATTAATATTATATATTTTCTTAGAACGGAGTACCAGGTCCCTAAGTATGTTGTCAACCTAGATCTTCCTGCTGCTGACAGGTGGACACATATAGTGAAAGAGAGAGCAAAGTCTGTAAGTAGGAAACTAATTTGATATGAACGTATAGTTTCCTGTGTAGTTATATGTTTACCAAGTTTATTACAAACTCACACAATACAGTGTCAGCATCATGCATATTACTGAAAACTTGCACAGACATTTTTTCACTCACACTATCTGTTAAGTGTTACACATCTGTTATCATTCATTAATTAATTCAGTAATTAATTTTTCTTTGACTTGTCACTTCCAGATTGTTAACCTGCTCACGCAATTTAAGGACTTTTTGAGAGCTTTAGATCTTCAAGTTGCAGAGATGTTTATTAATTATATAGACCATAACTTTGTAAGTACATCAAATCTTAACAGTGTCTTATGTGCATAGAACACTGATCAAATAAAAAAAAAAGTAGTGAATTTAAAAAAAAATCGTTTTATTTATTTATTTATTTATTTATTTATTTATTTATTTATTTATTTATTTATTTATTTATATTAGGTAATGCTATGTGGTCACAGCTTTTTTACGTAATAAACCTGCTACTTGAATATTTTTGTTTTCTACATTTCATGACACCCACAAGTTTGGTTTAAATAATTCCAAAATTCAGTTCTTAGTAATGGATTTAGAAGAGTGCAAACGTTATATTTGTGTATTTTAGGGGAATTTAACCAACACACTTCCAGAGCCATTTGCTGATGAGATCAAGGGAATATCCAAGGCTACAGGAATACCACTTGGTGGGGGCATATTACATGGCTTTTATTTTATCCAAATAACTAAATTAATCAAATTAATTATGAATAATTTATTTAATATATTTTATATCCATTTGGGATGTATGTTTTGTGACTATGACACCAGAGGTTCGCCTGGCCACTGATGGTTTACCCTTGTGGATGTAAAATATTTTATTCACCAGATCAACAGTTCATCTGAGCGAGGATGCAAAGATGTCATAGTCACAGTCATCATCTACTGACAGAAAATGTGTAAACAAACAAAGATGTGATCAAACACCTTTCTTTTTCTGGATCATTAAGCAGATTATGTTTTATCTTTTATTAAAATTCTTTTATGGCAAAATGATTCTTACAATTGTCACAAAGACCAGGAATCAGAAAACTACTTATGATAGTGTAAGTGAGCTATCAATGTAAATATGAAGACAACTGGTTTTAACTTGTGTTCCAGGGGAGGTATTAATGTACAACATATTTTATGAAATGTTCAGTATGTGTACATCCATTGTTGCTGAGGACCCTGCAGGTAAGATTAACCTTAATTAAAAATACTCAAAGGAATCAGACGGAGCTAGCTTTTTAATAACTCTGATTATGTTCAATCTTCAGTCAATACCTTTATCACTACTTGATTCCACATGATACTATTTATCACGAGTGTCCTGATTACAGCAGACTATGAAACACAGACTTTGATTCTTCCTTAATCATTTATGCCCATCATTCACAAAATGTAATTTATTTCTTTGATTATAATATGTGTCATAAATGTTTATCAATCAGGAACTGTTTGTATCTTATATATGATTGATTAATTATTGATTTGATTTAATTAAATTTGATGTTTTTAGGAAAACTTTATCATGCCAGAAATTTGGACTTTGGTCTGTTAATGGGGTATGATTAGTGTTCACTTTTTATGTGATTGAAGACCTATTAATAAGGCTCACAATGACCATTAAACCTTTATTTATCAAATGAATTATTTTCCTGGAAATTTTTACACTTTTCTTAGTGGTCAATTAATCCATTTTTGAGTTCTAAGCTGATTATTTTTTATTAACTGTCATTTTTAATGGAGATGGATTTTGGTGAAATGATAGAAGTTTTGTTGGTGCAGAGAGTAATATTAATAATTTTACTTTAAATATATCAATATCATAGTTAAAATTTAAATATTTATTTCATTTTAAAATTATTTAGGTTACATAGATTAACTATTTATTCACATTAAAATTCACATTATAGGACATGCAGTGAACACAGTAAAAATTATAGAATTGTCAGAGCTCTGAATTGTTAGAGCTAACTAGATGATTATTATTTTCAGATGGGACATTAAAAACCACACTTGGGTGATAACAGAGTCACTGCGGCCAATGATAATGAATATAGAGTTCCAGATGAAAGGAAAAGTTGTCTACAAGGCTGTCACATATGCTGGCTTCATTGGAGCTATTACAGGGATGATACCTGTAGGTCCATTTTTGGATTTAATTGTAAATTTTATCTTAGATTGATTTTTATTGATTTTAGAAAAACCGCCATGATAATTTTTTATTCAAATTAGAAATTAGTTGAATTAATGTTTAATTATGAATTTAATCTTAAGGATAATGTCACCCAAAGAGTTGTGGGTGGATTTGGTAAATTTTCAGAAATGGTGTAACTTGGAATTGATCAGATTTCAATCCTGATCCATAAGCTGATTAATAAATCAGCAATGAGAATTGGGTTGAATTAAAATCTGCACTCTGAGTGCTTTAATTTCTAGTTATTTCTATTTAATTTTCAGGATTCATGTATGTCAAAAATGGAATATCTTATAATCAGGTAGACTTTGGTGGTGATCCGTTAATCAGTAAATTAATGATAATTAGAAATGAGCTGCCATGGTGAAGGTCTGCATTCAATGAGTGCCTTTCTATTCTGTATCACATGTGCTTCTCTTTCAGGATGTCTTGACATTATCTGTAAACACACGTTTCTCTCTGACTGGAGGTAAAATTGGCATCATAGAGTGGTTGCTAGGTGACCACAGCAGCCAGTGGGTGAGCTTTCTGACCAGGGATGTATTAACATACTCCACCAGTTACCAGCAAGCCAAGGAGAAACTGTCCCAAGTTGAACTCATTGCTCCTGCTTATTATATTCTTGGTGGAAATTATTCTGGGCAGGTAAGTAACGCCATACATTGATTGTACACAAGTTGACACATCATGTCTACATGACAACTTCAGGTCTTATGTAGAATGAAGAATATATACTTATTTATTTTCCACACCTAACTCTCAATATATTTTCATGGTAGGTAATAAAGTGATGAATTGCATTTTTGTTTGCAACCGAGTTTAATTGCTTAATATGGCGCAGAATTTAAAATTTCTGAAAATTCATAAAGTTTGACGATTTTTGTTTCAAAATGCTATTCTTTGTCTACATTAATTGTCCATATTTCATACTACTCTGTGACCAATATTTGCCTGTACATTGGACATCTTTACTGTCTTGTGAATTGAAATATTCTATACTTCCAAAGGGCTGTGTGATAACAAGAAGCAGAGAAAAAGCCCTGGATATCTGGGAGTTGAACCCTGGGAAGGGTGTGTGGTATCGCCTTCAAACAAACTACGATCACTGGAAGGCGCCACTGTTTGTAGATGACAGACGCACTCCGGGAATGAGGTGTATGAATCAGACCACACAGCAGGTGAGGCTTAGTCATTAAGTCTAGATTTCACAGATTTTGTGTAATAATTTTATATTTTTACGATATATATATATATATACTCTCTATGTGGAGTTTTAGTAATTTTTTAAATGTTTTAATTGATTTTTCTATAAGTTTATAAAGTTTCTAATTCTTTTTACTTGAATAAAATTATTGGCATGACTTATTGACGTACAAACTGTCTGTCCCCAATAATTTTTAAAAAGATATCTTGCCTAACTTTCAATAGTTTGATATGCAGGTGGTTAAACAAATAAACAAGACTGGAGAATTAATGGCTGGAAACAGAATAATAACACATATAAATTATTTTTCTAGAATGTTGGTTTTGCTGGACTTTTCAATGTCTTGTCAACCAAGCCAGTCCTCAACAAGGTAACTCATTTTCCACTTTATTATAATCACAAATACATTTAGATTGTCAGTGATTATCTTTGTTCGTTTATAATGCCAATGCACATTGTAAGAAATCTGCTGCAAAATAAGTGTTCATATTAAAAGATTTTAAAAACATTATTGTAAATAAATATATTCTAATCTCTCCTGTTTCCAGCTGACCACATACACAGCACTGATGCAGGTCAATGCAGGGAAACTGGAGACATACAAACAACACTGTGATGACCCATGCTGGCCATGGTAACTGGTCGTTATGGTTACATGTTGTCATGGTTATATGTTAAAGACATGGAAACATGATGGTTCCAAAAAGCTGCTTTCTTTATATGTGGCTTGTGATGATGGACTTAAATTTATTTCTGATGAAGCCACAACTGGACACAAACTGATATTTTTGATTGTTTATCAGATTTTAACATAACATAATGTGAATTTAATTATTAGGTTAGGACTTGTTTTTTATAGTTTTTGTGAACATTTTCTAAAAGGCATTGATGTTTTAATATTTATCATATTAAAATGTATTTTTCTTTTTAACTGATATTTATGTTGAAAACCAGTGCCATTCCCTCAGGAAATAAAATACTCTTCCCAAACAAAACTACATACTTAAATTCCAGTTGTTGTGACTTGTTTAGCTGATCTTCATGAGATAAATGGTTTTTAAGTGAACGTATATTTTTGTTTTTAATTTAGCTTATGTAGAAGCAATCCAAACCTCCAAGTTTGAGTTACCTAGATATTCAATGCTGAATGCCCACCTTATTAGATTTTAAAACAAGGCTGCAAAGCTATCAAATTTACCAATTAAAAGCAGAAAATAATGATGCACAAAATAGGTTATTTTGTCAGTTTTGATGCAATAATACATTTTTCATAACAGCAAAGTCAAGACCAAATTTTAATTATGCACAGTCAGCTGGTTAGGAACATGTTACTAACATAAGGGTTCAGGCCCATGAAAATCCTATTTCACACATTGAAATATGCCAGAATGAGAAATATAAAAATTTATCCAAAAAAAAAAATAAATAAATAACAATAATAAATAAATAAAATAAATGAATTAAAGAAAAAAAAATCAATTTTTACCAAGCTTTATGTAAGTCTTAAGAATCATTCTTGTAGGTTACAAAATAATTTAAGTATGACAGTTTTCCTTTCATAAAGCTTGTGGTGGGAGTGCACAAATTATTACTTTTTTGTCAGTTTTGATGCAATAGTACATAATTTCCACCAATTTTAAATAATATACTATATGTATCAGGGGCATTCCGAAAATGTATGTATCAAAAGGCTTCAAACCCATGGAAGCTGAAAAGTCATAACTTGAAAATGCCAATATGTGAAAAATTAAAAATAGTGAAAAATGGAATAAAATGAAAAAAAAAAACTGCATGACTACCAGAAAAGAAACCAAACAGGCTAGTTAGTTTCCTACTCGGGCTGTATTTAGCCGTATATTTCTTTCCTGTAAGTTTTAGAATCATAAGTGACATGGTTTTCCTTAAATGGTATCCATGCCTTCTATGCCTAAAAAGCATTATCACCATCAATTTTTCATTATGCTCTAGATGAACAATTAAGAAAATTAACGAGCAAAGGTATTCAGGCACATGGTAGTTCAAAGTCACGCCTTGAAAACGTCACTTTGTGAAAAATGAACATTTGACGAAAAATATTTCTATCAAGCTCGACTCGACCTGAATTTTTGCAATATTTATCAGCCCTGTAAGTTTGAAGACAAAAGGTCAATAGGTTTTCCAATTAATATATATTGCATATACGTATATACCGAAAAAAGCGAAAAAGAACAGCATTATTTTTGGAAAATAGTCCGATCAAGCTGATTTTCGAACTCGGCCTGTATTTTACAATTATTCATCAGTTCTGTAAGTTTGAAGACAATAGGTCAAACGGTTTCCAATTATCGTGTTATCTCTGAAAATGCACAACGACAGACGCAGGTGACGGCTTCAGACACATCTGTATCAGTTTCGGTTTCGTTTGTCTTGCTGTACAATGTGACTTGTGGGTTTCATCAAAATGAGGATTTATCGTAAGTGTAAGACGCATAATGTTTGTCTATTATCTAATATTCCATGCCCTCCATATCATTGAAAGAATAATTATGAAATACTAACAATACAATGAAAATATATATTTACCTTCTCTTTATTTTATTCATTAAAACTTATCGTGAAAAATGTAAACAAAATTTCAAGTTTTATACATGACCGATATGGCCGGTCTGTCTCGTGACTGGGGTAATAGTATGCCTGGTTTGTTTTCAATGACAGCCATAATCTGACAAGGACAACCATGTTTGTGACCAGCACAGTTCTGCGAGGTTGCACCGCTGTTATTTTGGTAGTAGCTGTCTCAACTGTCTCTACACACAGGCTTGGGCCTCCGGTGCGTTTCTTTCTTGATTAAAATCATGCATACATGTAGCATTGACAAGATAGTTTAATCTGAGCTTATTCTGTGTCCCTTTGTTTTGTTTAATTCTTTGGGTGAGTTCAGTTCTGAGAGAAGTAAGAGATTTTATTGGGCTGTCCATTTGAATTATATATTATTTTCTTTGAATACTTCTTCAGCAAAAAGAGGAATGTGTAACAGGGAAATACCCCCCTCCACAGACGTGAGTATTAATAGTCATAAGAGCTGTCACACAGAAAATAAGGATATATATAATGATGCCACGCACAGGCCCAGAATATAGCACTAAGGGGTGTGTGGTACACTTAACCCCTTCCCCCACCTGCCCCCTTGGGTCTGCTTAAGGGGCCCGCACACGGTGAGCATTCGGCGCGTGCCACTTGCGCTGCGCCAGATGCTCGCGCTCCTCAGCTCCCCGCAAACGATGCGCTCTTTGCTCAGCAGATATGCCTCCCGGCCTGCCCCTATCGGACGCACCGCGAACTGTGGGATCATGTGATTAAGGAAACATTATATATTTTTTTTTCTGAAAGTTATGGCAAATGGTGACCATGTTAATCAATCAGACTAACTACTGTATAACTGCATGTGTACACTTTTGTTTACTTCGCTGGAGGCTGCCATTTTTCTTTGTTTCCGGCTACCGGCACATGCGCATTGTTGGCATGGCGTGAGCAATCGGCGCTTGCACCCCTCACACGCGGAGACATTTGCCACAAGAGACCAAAAATATCAAACACGTGAGATTTTGCTCAGCCGCGCGAGATTCAAAAATCTCACCAAAATAGCCCTGCACACGATGAGAAAACGGCGCAGCGCAAGTGGCGCACGCCAAATGCTCACCGTGTGCGGGCCCCTTTAATTAGACCAGAGTAAATTAACAAGTTAAAATGCTTATGAACTGTCAGAAATTCTGATTCCACACATAAATTTAGATTGCTTAATTAAGGAAATGGTATTAAATATTGATTTATTTTTGAATATACTGAATATTAAGATATTCTTAACCATATTCATTATTTCTTAAGCTGATCGAGTACCAAATTATTTATAATCTAATGGATCAAAGAAATGAAAAATTACAAATCAATTGATTAATGAAAATAAAATGTTCATTGACACATGTAGCTACATGTAGTATATCAGTATTTTTTCTTAGAGCTGAGTACCAGGTCCCAAAGTATGTTGTCAACCTAGATCTTCCTGCTGCTGACAGGTGGACACATATAGTGAAAGAGAGAGCAAAGTCTGTAAGTAGGCTGCTTAGCTTTTGTGTAAATTTAGAAGTATATACCATATATACATATTTATCACATGTTCACATAACGTGTAATATTTAAAATGTAGTCAAATTCATATTCCATGCTTAGATTTTTTGCTTATTTCTTGTCATTCACATTAAATTTAAAATGTTAATTTTTGTTTTTCAGATTGTAAACCTTTTGCAGAAGTTCAAGGATTTTGTGAAAGCTTTGGATGCTAAACTTGCAGAAAAGATTTTTGATTATGTGGACCATAACTTGGTGAGTGTATCAAATTATTTCACCAGGCATAATCTCTTTGCATTTCAGCATATGTTTGTAAATTGAATAAAACAAGAAGTGAGATTTGATATAATGATTACAATAATACTGAATGTTATGTTATGGTAAAATAAAAGTCAGGGCTTTCGTATATATATATGGTCATTCCTCTCTCTTTCGTTTAATAGTCACTTAATGTCATTATTGTTTTCTGATTTCTTACAATGCATAATTGTAATTAAAATTCTGGATGATGCAACTAGTGATTTTTTGTGTGTATTTTAGGGGAATTTAACCAACACACTTCCACAGCCATATGCTGATGAGATCAAGGGAATAGCCAAGGCTACAGAAATACCACTTGGTGGGGGCATATTACATGGTTTTTATTTTACGCAAATTACTAAATTAATCAAATCAGTGAGTAGTTTATTAGATTTTTAGGGTCATATTGCTGATGAAATCTTGATTTAATTTCATGCTAACATTAATATTATTACTTGGTTTTAATTATGACCAGAAACCGGTGCCACCAGCTGTCAAAAAAATTAAGAAATTAAAACAGTAAATTTCAGATAACATATGGACACTTAGGACAAAAAAATTGTTAAAATTTTGTGAATATTTGAGTTGGCCAATGTAAATTCAAATCAAAAATTTTTTGAAAAAAAAATTCATTTGAAAAAAGAAAAACAATAAACTGTAAGAGGATGAGATATCAGGAGCTTTGTATTGATCACAAATATATATAAATCAAATTTCTTAACATATAGGGTAAAATTCAACAACAACCTGATGTTGCAGTTTCACCTTTAGACCTTTCACTAGGGAATAACCTGGATGGACTGGTCACCTCATTATAAGTAGTGTTGTATGGCTAGGTAGTAACCTGGATGGACTGGTCACCTCATTATAAGTAGTGTTGTATGGCTAGGTAGTAACCTGGATGGACTGGTCACCTCATTATAAGTAGTGTTGTATGGCTAGGAATAGTCTCCAGCACCCTATACCATGTGTTAAAGGTTAAACCTGGGTTGTACTTTCTTGTTGAGTGTTGAGCATTTTCCACGCTCCCAACTAGCTTTTTTGATGCCTCCTTAATTTGCTCCAGTTCTCCTCATGGTAAAGAATGGTAAATTCCAATCTGATCTGTTATATGACCATTCTCTGTCTCTGGTGTAGTACTGCATGTAGTGCACCCAAATGTTTTGCTCATGCTAAAAATTTTAGAATTGGAGAACTATCAAATGGCATTGTATTCTTACTGCACTTCAACTGCATTCTAAATATTCTTAAGGCATTCCAACAACATTTGAAATTTTGCATTTTAGGGAGAACTGAAATATCCAGGCCAACCACAGTAATGGGCCTGAATATGTGGAATGCACATAGAATTTTTAGAATGCACTTTGAATATCAAGGAATGTTTAAAAAATCTTTTTGACGGCATCTTAGCTTAGTTTGTCTCTAGTGTGACCATAGGTATGGTAGAAATTTTTAAAAAAATTTTCATTTCGACTGGTTCTGCTTGATTACTGCTGATTCTGAATAAGTACATATGATGAGGGTATATATTAACAAAGTGACGAGTTCATCATGTAGTGAATTGTCTCAGGATGAAATTGCAATGTCCACGAGTTTTGAAGGATACCTTAAAATTGGCTGATAAAAACATATAGTCCTGATTCTTATTCTACTGAATGTCTTAAGTAAAACATGTATACAGTTTTTATTTATGTACCAAAGTTAACTCATTCCTTTATCTGTTCTAGGGGAGGTCCTGCTGTACAACATATTTTATGAAATCTTCACAGTGTGTACATCCATTGTTGCTGAGGACCCTGCAGGTAAGATAAGCCATAGTTGATTTACAGATATGAATTTAATCAACACTGGCTTCATGTTATTCTGGTGTGCTATCTGTCCCATGCCCAGTCAATGTATATGTTTATCACCAATTGATGATATAAGTGTATATTTGTTACAATCAGTACAGCCTTAAATGATGTAAATTTATATTTATCACATATTGTTTGTAACAATTATTGCTGAATATTTATTGATTGTTACTGTGATTGATGACCATCACTTCTAAAATGTAATTCAAATTTGATATTTTTTGGAAATGATATTATCATTGAGGCATTGTTAGCGTTTTGATTACAATTGATTGATTGATTAAATTGATTTAATTACTCTTAATATTTTTAGGAAAGCTGTATCATGCCAGAAATCTGGACTTTGGTCTGTTTATGGGGTATGTGTCATCATTTAGATTGTGTTGTGCATATCGCAGATATATGATTATATATGCCATGAAACTTGCACTAAAACAATTGCCAATGGCAGCTTGCACTCTGATGTTAGCATTTCACTGTAGAAATAGCAATTTGATTACATCACTGTAATGATTTAACCAATATTTTGAAATTCAGTTATTTTGATTTGTTTGATGCTGCACAAATCACATATAAGATGCCATTTCACCCTGATCAAAAATATTGCACAGATTTGCAAAAAAAATTGGAAAAAATATTCCAGATGGGATTTTAAAAACCACACTTGGGTGATAACAGAGGCACTGCGGCCAATGATAATGAATATAGAGTTCCAGATGAAAGGACAAGTTGTCTACAAGGCTGTCACATATGCTGGCTTCATTGGAGCTATTACAGGAATGATACCTGTATGTTTATTACTTTTAAAAATTAAAATTGTTATAAAATTTCAATTATGTTTTATTGATGGCCTCATTTTAAATCATTAAATTAATTTCAAAACGAATTGCAATTATTATTCAATGCATTCATATAGAGAGTTCCTTGTTTGTTTATTAATTTTTAAACCTATACTTCCATTTAATTATTAACATTAATTCAAGAAGCTTATATTATTAATTATCTAGTTAAACATTTTTGTATGAATTTATTGTGCAAGTTAGCATGAGGAATATTTCCAGCTCATAATTGCTATCATTTAGTCTTAGTTGAGACGAATCTGGTTCACCCCTTTTAAAAAAATTTTCATCAAATGACCTTCCAGGGTGTCTTAACAATGTCAATGAACGAGCGCTTTAACCTGGATGGGGGCTATCTTGGCATCATTGAGTGGTTGCTAGGTGACCACAATGGAAAGTGGATGAGCTTTCTGACCAGGGATGTGTTAATGTACTCCACCAGTTATCAGCAAGCCAAGGAGACCTTGTCCAAAGATGAACTCCTAGCTCCAGGTTACTATATTCTTGGTGGTAATTCTTCTGGACAGGTAAGTATAACACACCATACCATTGGTTGCATGCACATGCAGACACACTGTCTACGTAGCACATGCAGGTGAAGTATAAGAGGGAGTGCGCATGTGTAACTTGACACTTAGTTTGACAGCGAGGCGTGATATATGCAGTTTATGGGCTGTAGAGGAGCAGTGGAGAAAACGGTGTTTTAACTGGTAATTTTACCCTTGTAAATGTTATAAAAATTTATTTGTATTACTACTATAAGGTATATACTGTATAATTATGATATACATCATCATGTCTCCCTGAATTAATATTCTGTCATTCAGACCAACACCATTTTTGAAAACTAAATGATAGGCAATTTTTAATGAAATTGTGTCATTCTTCTTCTGTGTAACAGGGTTGTGTGATTACAAGAAGCAGAGAAAAATCCCTGGATATCTGGGAATTGAACCCTGGGAAGGGCGTGTGGTATCTCCTGGAAACAAACTACGACCACTGGAAGGCGCCACTGTTTGTAGATGACAGACGTACTCCGGGAATGAGGTGTATGAATCAGACCACACAACAGGTGGGGCTTGGTCATTAACTCTACACAACACAGCTTTGAATAAAAATTTCTTGTAGTTTCTCTTCTGCAGCCATAAATTCTAGGTTACAAAACTTGAGGAATAGGATCTATTTTGTTTTTTGTTATTTTTCTAAACTGTAACTTTTTCTCAACTGTAAATTTTAATTTCTAACTTTCAAGAATGTGACCCTGAATTATTTTATTTATTTTGCTTGAATTTGGTGGTGTGGTTTACATGATGCATCCAACACAAAGATGTTATTTTAGGAACAAAATACAAAAAGTATGATTTCTGTCAACAAACTGGGTTTTAAAAAACAGAATTGAATTATAACAATAACCTTATTTTCTAGAATGTTGGTTTTGCTGGAATTTTTAATGTCTTGTCAACCAAGCCAGTCCTCAACAAGGTAACTTGGTGTCCATTTTATTTACAGAAATAAAAAACAAATAAAAAAATTAAATTAAAAAAAAAAGAAAATTAATAAATTAATTAATAGGCATAAGTAACAAGAAGAGGAAAGAGAAATTCATTATCATGCGCATAATGACTTTTAATACAAGTCTAGAATTGCATCGATTTTAAGAAAATTTAATATGCTGGGAAATAGTTCAAATATTCGAAAAATATTAAATACATTCAAATCTGTCTTGTTTCCAGCTGACCACATACACAGCACTGATGCAGGTCAATGCAGGGAAACTGGAGACATACAAACAACACTGTGATGACCCATGCTGGCCATGGTAACTGGTCGTCATGGTTACATGTTGTCATGGTTACATGCTGGACATATTTTATGTGTGGTTTGTGATGATATATTGGTTTTATTTACTGTCTTGGTTAATTCAAAGACAAAGCCAGGACAGTACACATATTGATTTGAAACTAATATTTTTGTTAATAAGATTTTAACATAACATTATATGAAGTGGGAGGTAAGGATGTTTGTTATCTAAAAGGCATCGAGATTTTTGTGAAATTTATCATATAAGAATTTATTCTTCTTTTTAACTGATATTCAAGCTTGAAAGCAGTGCCTTTCCATTTTAAGATGATGTACTCTTCTGAACAATACTACTTATTGTTGTAACTGATCTTCCTTGGATAATATATATGTTTGTAAAGTGTATATTTTTTGTTTTAAATTCAGCTTATGAAACATTAACTTTGTTGTGAAATATCTGTGTTTTATATATCTTTATATATAATGGTGCTCAAATGCAGTTCCTCTTCCCAGTCAGCATTCTAGTTCTAAGATTTTTTTAAAGAACTAAATGCAACATGTAGAGTAAAAGTTGTGATAATTATTTGTGTTGTAATGAATAATGAAGGAATAAAATTCTATCTGAATTTTTTGTAAAATTCTATTGTTCAATATTTAGTCAGTCAGTTAATGGGTGATAATACTCTAGAGAGCTGGTATAGGTTTTCATGGTAATTGTATGGTGATATGAATGGCTTCCCTTGAAAACCTTCAAGTTGTGATGTTTGTGCTGTGGTACAGTCTACTTTGCTGACCAGTCACTTTTTACTTCAACCTAGACTGAAAATGTAGAACATTTTAAACTGTGCGCTATTCTTAAGCATAATGTTGATTTTTTTTAGTTACCTTGCAAAAAAATAACTTTTTGGACTCGACTTTAATTGACATCTGAAAAGTTAAATATATAGTGCTGCATCTGTTAGGTTTTTATTACATACACATTTGAATAAAATTAACATCAACATTAATTTTTCATCAGTGCTTAATTTTGCAAGATTTTTATAAGGAAACAAGATCAAGCCTTCTGTTAATCATTTTATTAATTATGCTTGAGTGCAACCCCACTTTTAAATTGTGTTGACTGAAATTAAATGGAATCTGTTGTCAAAGTTTCTAAAAAGATCGTTCTTTTATTTGGATGGCCAATTTAATTTTTCCCTAAGGGAGCAATTAAGAATGGGTAAAAGGTGGTGGTAAAGAGTAAAGTAATATTAATAAGTTCTTACAATAAAATGTACCGTGGTCTTTGATCATTTACATAAATACATCCAGGTGTTTTAAATAATGTAAAATGATATTAGCGTGCACGATTTTCTATTTGTAAAATTCAATATGACACAGCTGTTGACATAGATATATGATAGACAAGACTGTAAAATCATATATAATTTTATTGTTCTACAATGCTAAATAACAAATTTCATGTAAGTAAACTCGGACATAAAATCTGAAGAAGTGAGCATTCAAACCAGTCATATCAATTTCAATTGTGCTTCCCAAGTTTCAGCACCATAATTAGGCTACATGTTAAAAGTATAGATATATAAATATAAAAAGATAACAATCTGACAGTCCACAATTATTCAACGAGTTAACAACAGATTTCTTCCAATCAACTAATGGAATGTTGCCACTGGGCATCTTTCCCAGCTGATAAATTTTAACCTTACACTGCTTGAAGTTATTATATTATATTATTGTAGAGGAAACCAAACTGATGAAAATCTTGAAATGGTTTACACTGATTTTCTCCTTATATTTGCTTATACATAATGAGGCTCTGTAAATAATGTTGAATTCCCCCTTTTTATGGTAATATGAATAGAATTATGTATGGAAGATTTTGTGCATCTGCAGGATATAGTTTGCATATATGTGTATTCTTCAAATACTTCAAAAAAGAAACAACAGAAAGAAAATACTGGTTCAAAGATGGCTCCCAGCAATCCACAGAGAATTTTTCCCATTATTTTATATCTTGAAGAGTAATTGTGCAACAGGCAGGCTATAAGGGCACTTGAACTTATTCAAAATGAAGCAAGTCAGTGCCATATTTTACCTGGATATGTTGTATACAGTAGCCTAATGTGTTGGCTGCTTTAGAAACGTCCCCATGAAACCATAATTAAAGTTTTAGCAGGTGGCCTAGATATAATAGGAAAGAGAACCACCATGAGTGTAAGAGGCATTTGACAGCTATGAAAATCCTGCCAACCCCATTATGTGCAGGAACAGACTTGATGATGATGATGATGATGGTGATGATGATAATGTTGATGAAGAGCTGGTGAGGCCCCCTTGGTATTACATTTGCGTTTCCTCAAATCTGTCGTCATCATCGTTATTGTCCAAATCGCAGCTTGCTGCACTGTTTGCTGTTTGTCGACTTGACTGAGCCACAGGCTGGTTTCCAATGGAAAAATGGGCTTGGCGAGGAGAACCCTTTCTATTGCATAGACAATGAATTTGTTCATTAGCACCAACACTGTCCCCACTAGAGTTCAAGCTCAAGTCCAGTTTTGTAGATAGAGGGCAGTGCTCTTCATGAGAGTCCCCATTCCCAGTATGGAACTCCATGGGCCTTGCTGTGGAAGTTTCACTGTGTTTACTGTTTAAAGATGAGTTTGAATGATGATGTGAAGGTGTCCCTGTTACAGGTACAGAGGACTGTGGTTTATTTGATGGGAGCAAATGTGAATTTGATCTTGGAGAGGATGCCTTTGATCTCGTGGGCGACAATGAAGACATCTCATTTTCCACTGCAAAGGCTGAGCTGTCTTTCACTTGTTCTGATGTGGGGCTTTCTATCTCAACTTTACACACCCTAATATTCCTCCCCCTGCGCTTCTTAGAATTCCCACCTTTCTTCAGACAACTGTTGAGGATTTTTTCACCAGAGGCTGTGACTGTGTCACCGCCTATGGTTGTGTTGTTGATACTGCTACCTTGCACATTGCCATTTGGAGTGTTCTTCAGTCCCCCGTTACTGACTGGGTCAGTCTGAATACATTTATCCTCCATGGGGACAGGCTTTTTGGGTTTACGTACAAGAATCATCTCTCCCTCTTCTATGGCTTTCTGGTATTCTGGTGGCACTAGAAAGTGATAAAAAAGTGATACTTCAAAGTGACTAATGATTTATAACACTATTCCTCATTCAATAAATATACTGCATGCAAATTTACATGCAAACAACACTATCAAATGCAGCCATGAGCTAACAAAATAATAAGTTTCCTTAATTCTTCTGATAATGGATGAAAAAATCTTCTCTTTTTTATTCATTTAACAAAGTTTGTTTTTGCCACATAATCAGCACAACATGAAACAACTCAACAATTCTGCAAAGTAACACCTACAAACATCAAAGAACAAACACTCACTGTCTCTAGTAATTAAGTCACTTTTATTAGTGGAGGATGACCCAGAGGGAGATGTCTTTCTGGTCTTTGTGGATGGTCTCTTGGCAGGTACACTAGACAAGGAGGCCTTCCTTTTCTTCTCTTGTTCTGCTAACTGATGGTTCCTCAGCATTTCTCTCATGCTTCTCACTGTTAACTCTGCAAAGGTTGATATGATGACCATTCAAGACTGACCAGTAATACACATGGGGTCATCACTAAAATGACCAACACCTTACCCCCACTGGAGCAGATTTTATAAGAAATCGTCAAGACTTGCATTTCTACAAATTTTGGAAAATGAATTAAATGCTGCAGGCTTATGTCAAGGCAAGATAAGTGTAAAACAGTTGATGTATGTATTGAAAGCCTGTCTCTTTCTGTATGTTCTCATTTGCTTCATGTTCATCTTCATTGCATATCCTTATAAGAATTGGTCAAAATATTTTTTAAAACCTTAAAATTAAGTTTGAGCATAATGTAATATCACATTGCTAAATTGTGAAAGAAAAACTTAAAGTTAATGGATTAACTTCAAATCAGTAATATGAACATATGCATTTACCAATGCATTCACCTGCAGATGAAAATATCATATACATACATAAATAAGGTGGATATACCTTTATCCTCTGACTAAAAGCCAAATCACCTCGATCATGCATCATGTTTATAAAAACTGTGCATTAACCCAACTACTTGTGCAATTATAACACCATCTATCAATCACACACCACTTTAAGTATAAAAGTTTGAAGCAAAGGAAATTGTTTTGATAGCAATGATTAATAAAATGAAGTCATGCCACTAACATTGAATTAACAGTAATTAAATAAAAAGAAATAAGCAAGCAACCTATTCTACAATTTGTAAAGCAAGTGTTGTTTATTGTATGACTAAATGCCACAATTTTGTAATTTTGTGAAAGTTTTTAAAATGTTCATTTTAAAGGATTCTTTATGTTATTTTCATCCATGAAAAATATTATGTTAGTTGCAGTAATCAACAGCTTGCAATTTAAGCAATACCACAGGTGAAGCTTGTAAATAAAGTGCAGGTTAACAGTAAAATCTTGCATTATAAGCATGCGAGCTGTTATGAATGCTTATAGTGTCCTGCCATAAAATATTAGTTTTTATATCAAATTAGTACTGATATCAAGCAGCTACTAATCATCTAATTTCCAGTCATCTTTCCAAAGATGTTCTCCATTTCTTTTAACATTTCCTGATCATTCACATGCACATTCAATTTGATAATCTGTTAGTAGCCATGCCTATGTTGTCTAGTCTCAAGTTACCTTCAGTTAACTGGCCATTCCTCAGTAATTCTCTCATACTGCGAACAGTAAGATCTGGAAAGTAAAGCTACAACTGCCAAACACATATCTCCTCATGCACTTTAGTCAACCTTGTCAACCATGTCAACCAACAGTCTGACAACCACCTGCAGATCTTTCAAGAATGCAGACATGAAAATAACACACTTTAACTAGTCTACTCAAGGATAAAGACATTCTGCTGACAACCATCATTATCAACCATGTGACAGATGCTGAGTTAGAAGTATGCCCAAATCCAAGATCAAAAAACAAGCACAGAAATCTTTATTTCTAACCAGCAACAAAAAGATGGGGGAAAAGATTAAGCCATTGAAGGAAGGTGAAACTTTCTGTGTATTTAAACTTTCTGCACAATAAAACATCACAAACTGCTACATGTGTTATATTTCACACACATCAGCTTCAAATGAAAAACCATGCATGAAACCTCACTCTTCAACCATCAAGTCAGGCCCTGACACTAATGTTTTTCTAGGAAGTGAAACTTCAGCTTTACACTTTTCATAAAAGAACTTTCAAATTGCTTTACATATTTTATAATTCACACATTTCCAGTGAAAAAGTTTCAATCTTCATCCATAAAATTTATGAGACTTCTTGTGCCCAGAAAACAATAAAATGACTAATGAAAGAATTTGTCTTAGTGTCACCGACTTTGCAGGTTGAATGTTAACATGCCACATGCCTTTCCATTCTCATTGAATCCTTTCTACAAACCCAAAGAAACCTTTCGTGAACATTAAAAAAAAATTTAACATTCATAACCATCCATTCCATACAAAATCTAAAAACAATCCTAAGATTTCCTTAACACTACTGCTTGCCTGATTCCTTACCCACTGAGGACTGTATGCCTTCAAACTCAGTGGTGGAGTCCTCGCTGAGGGCGTTGAGATAATAGTTATACATCCTGGGTAGCTGTGCTATAAACAGTCTGTGCTGCTCCAGTGCTGGACCCCAGTCCACTGTATGGTGAGATACCACTCTTAGTCTCTGAAATATTGAATAAAATCTTAGTATAGAGAAATAGAGGTAATAACAATATTAATAAGAAAGAGTGATATTCAAACTACCAAAGCCATTTTTTTGTTTGAAGGATGAAATATTTTATTAGAAATATATTTCTTCAATTTAGATTATATTTTTCTTTTCATTTGTTAAATTTATATTTTATAAGAGACATTGCACTATTCCTTGCCTCACCTCGCAGAGAATTCCATCCTTGCAATTCTTCAATTAAGATTCTTTAACTAAATTTTATCTCACCGACTAATTATATACTTTGTAAGAGACACTGAACTCCTATTGTCTCACCTCACAGAGAGATCCATGTGCCCTACAGATGATGTAGACAGCCCATACAGGAATGACTACAATGGAGACCAGGGCCATCATCCAGCCCATGATATCAGCCCATAGCGGGAAGGAATACTCCACATAGGAGGCGGCCGTGTAGTCTGCCAGGGAAAACACAAGGACAAACTGAAAGAACAAATATTCATTTAGAGAAACGCAAAGCAACAGAGTATGTCTGTGTCGTGGGTTGTTAGACAAAAAGTGCCTCAGTGAATGTGATGCACATGTTTTGTATCATGCTGATTATAGAGTTTAGTTTCCAGTATTCTAGTATTGGTCCGAGACTTTCTCTTATTCAGGGGAGCTCACTGCCTCAGGGGTACTCGGAAACAGAAAGTAAAAGTGAAAAGGGTGAAACAAGCATCCTGTAGTATCACTGGGTCAAGATAATCCCAGCCTGTTTCCCCTATCACTTCACTTAGTTTTCAAGGAGGAAAGCTCATACCTGTTCACCACACAGTCCAACTCACCGTGATAATAATGGGTGTTATCAGCCTCCAGAGGCACTTCCACATAAAGCTGGGCTCCCTGCCAATCATGGCCTTGATGTCAGCCCCAAACCTGTCCACCCCATACACCCAGGACAGGGCTACACACTCACAGATCCCTATGATCAGCACACTCCAGCTGGCTGCATAGTGGTCCATTAGCTGCATTAGGTAGATACCTCCCTGGACAGATAGACAGATATATTAGGTGGATAAACAATAACAAAATTTTGAATTTTTTTATTATAATTCAATAAAATTTTTTTGCTTTTTACTACTTCATGGTATTGCTGCTGGCAGACAAAAGTGTTTGAATGTCTTAATTTTTCAAACTGTAAAAGAAATTCAACAAATTTGTTTACACAAACCGTAAGTATTTGGCAAAATAAAAACAACAGAGAAAAGAAAATGCTCTGTTGTATAACAACATATGACATACAACTCACCTGAGTGCACATTGGCAATCCTAAGAAAAAATATATCAAACAGAGCACCAAAATCAGCAACACTTTCCTCCTGGGTTTGGTGTTGTCAAACTTGTGTGGAAACTCATCAGCAATGGCGGTGGACACAGTCTCCACGATGGCAAACTGTGTATCCAGTCCCACAAAGAGCAGCATGAAGAAGAACAGTATTGACCAGAGTGGAGACACTGGCATACGTAACACTGCGTCTGGGTAGATGACAAAGGCAAGACCAACCTCTGAAACAGTACAATAACCTTATATATATAGATCTATGATCAGATTTTACTGTTCTTTTTAAAGAAAATTAGGAAACTTTTCAAAGCAATTTCATGTGATGAACTCAAAGATTTGCCTTTTGTTTTTCACCCCATTCTCATAGATTAGATCGACCTACATTGGATCGACCTAACTCCCTGGGGGTTCACGCTAAATAGCTGTCAGCCGGGCGGACACGAAAGTTAATTACCCCTTAAAGCTTGTAGTAGGCGGGAACGGACACTTAAGGGGGATTATCTGACAGTAATCTAGTGAGACTCCCTGCAGTGATAGATCGATCTAAAAGTTGTGAGAACAGAGCCTTTAATTTTGAATATATCAAAGCAGGGCCAATGTCTGCTTTTCAATAGCAGACTAATTTTTTTAGCTATATTAAATGTACTAATTACCTGGACACTATATAATGTAATCTAATGTAATTCAATTTTATTGTTCTTATTTCTGAAGCAGTGCAGTCTAAGATCACATCTTTTAGCCTACCTTCTGATATGACTTTATCAATAGTTGTTCCCATCTCGTGTGCCATGACCCCCATGATGGCAAATATGACCAGTCCAGCAAACACACAGGTGGCACCATTACCCAGAGCTATGATCACTGCATCTCTGAAATTATAACACATGACAACTCTTTAAATAATATACAGTAAACACACAGGTGACACCATTACCCAGAGCTATGATCACTGCATCTCTGAAATTATAACACATGACAGCTCTTTAAATAATATACAGTAAACACACAGGTGACACCATTACCCAGAGCTATGATCACTGCATCTCTGAAATTATAACACATGACAGCTCTTTAAATAATATACAGTAAACACACAGGTGACACCATTACCCAGAGCTATGATCACTGCATCTCTGAAATTATAACACATGACAGCTCTTTAAATAATATACAGTAAACACACAGGTGACACCATTACCCAGAGCTATGATCACTGCATCTCTGAAATTATAACACATGACAGCTCTTTAAATAATATACAGTAAACACACAGGTGACACCATTACCCAGAGCTATGATCACTGCATCTCTGAAATTATAACACATGACAGCTCTTTAAATAATATACAGTAAACACACAGGTGACACCATTACCCAGAGCTATGATCACTGCATCTCTGAAATTATAACACATGACAGCTCTTTAAATAATATACAGTAAACACACAGGTGACACCATTACCCAGAGCTATGATCACTGCATCTCTGAAATTATAACACATGACAGCTCTTTAAATAATATACAGTAAACACACAGGTGACACCATTACCCAGAGCTATGATCACTGCATCTCTGAAATTATAACACATGACAGCTCTTTAAATAATATACAGTAAACACACAGGTGACACCATTACCCAGAGCTATGATCACTGCATCTCTGAAATTATAACACATGACAGCTCTTTAAATAATATACAGTAAACACACAGGTGACACCATTACCCAGAGCTATGATCACTGCATCTCTGAAATTATAACACATGACAGCTCTTTAAATAATATACAGTAAACACACAGGTGACACCATTACCCAGAGCTATGATCACTGCATCTCTGAAATTATAACACATGACAGCTCTTTAAATAATATACAGTAAACACACAGGTGACACCATTACCCAGAGCTATGATCACTGCATCTCTGAAATTATAACACATGACAACTCTTTAAATAATATACAGTAAACACACAGGTGACACCATTACCCAGAGCTATGATCACTGCATCTCTGAAATTATAACACATGACAACTCTTTAAATAATATACAGTAAACACACAGGTGACACCATTACCCAGAGCTATGATCACTGCATCTCTGAAATTATAACACATGACAACTCTTTAAATAATATACAGTAAACACACAGGTGGCACCATTACCCAGAGCTATGATCACCGCATCTCTGAAATTAACATACACAGCAACTTGTTCATGAAACTTTTTAGATAATATACAGTAATTCTTTGATCCAAGAGAAAACTTTTATTAATCTGAACAAACTGATTTTTGTCCCAGTCCATTAAGTATGCTTCATAAACATAAACATTTTACATAATACCATTCATAAACTGTTTGAAAACTCAAATTTTTAAGTTGCATCACAAACTGGGGCCCTTTTCACATTGTGTGGTTCACTTTTCTGTTTTGCACCATTTTTGAGACTGGCAATTTACATAGAGAGTCATCAAAATCCCATCCTCAGCACAGTCAGTTACTAATATCCAGATTAATTTTAATTGGCCCAATCAGTTAAAGGCAGATTGTGAAACAGAAAGGTACATACTATGTGAAAAAGGGACTCAAAGTCTAATTACAGCTTCAGTTCGAAACATTATTTGACATGGCCCTAAAACAGCATAATTCTAATTTTAAACACGTTTCAATTTTCACAGTTAAATCAGTAATGAACCATTCCCTATGCCTACTAACCTGTAGCAGTTATTATGGAACTTATTGTAGCTGGCCAGAGTGATCAGACCTCCCCAGCAGGTGGACAGTGAGAAGAAGATCTGCACCGCGGCATCCTTCCACACCTGAGCTGAGGCCAGTTTTTCCCACTGAGGGGTAAAATAATATCTGATGCCATCCTCAAACCCACTCAGTGTGACTCCACGTATGAACAGAATGAACAGGAGGATGTATGGGAATGTTGCTGTAAAATACACAACCTGAAATATAGAAATATTTCAATTATTTACAAAGTATTAATGATGTAACTACCATTTAAAACTATTACCATTACTCCACTTGCTATTATTGTTACATGTTCTATACTTCTAAATACTTTACACAATCACTGCAATTCTTTCATTTTTCATCTGGCAATTTATACTTGTTCAAAATATCTTCTTTGGGCCTCATGGTTATCTCAAAGGTATCCTTACACATCTGACTAATATTCACACACTAATGGAGCATACTCTACCTTTCCTGAAGATTTGATGCCTTTAATGAGGCACACAAAGACTAATATCCATGCCAGAGTAAGGCACAGTAGAATATGCCACTTCATGCCACCCAGATCCTGGATACCTTCTGACTTGCTGAGGACATGTAAACTAGAATGATAAAACAAAGACTTGTTTATTAGGCTGAAATATGATTTGTTTAAGAACTAGAGAAGCACTCAGAGAGTGCAGACCTTTTCCAAGGGAAATTAATTTTCATCATCTTTATTATTATTATTATTATTATCATGTGTGGTCTCTTTCTGCATTGTTTATTACGTCCTAAAGAGCCGGGCCCAAACAATGGTCCTGAGGCGCTAGAGGGTAGTTGTTCCTTTCTACTTCATTGATAGCACCCTTCGTAGTATGTGTGTTGTGCCGAGGAGAACTATCTTCTGGACTTCGTGGATGTTGATGTTTCCAGGGATTTTGTCGGTGTATTTCTCTAATCCCTTCTTCACAAGTCCCAGAGCTCCAATGACCACAGGTATTGTTATGGTCTTTGTACCCCACATTCTGTTGATCTCGATCTCCAGGTCCTTGTACTTTGACAGTTTTTCTGTTACTTTGACAGAGGTGTTGCGTTCTGATGGTATTGCCATGTCTATAAGGGTGCATTCCTTGTTTTTCTTGTTCTTGATAACGATATCTGGTCTATTCGCTTTGATCTCTCTGTCGGTCTGTATGGGCATGTCCCACAGGATGGTGATCTCATTGTTCTCAGTGACTGTGTTGGGCTGATGTTCATACCATTTGTCAGCTGTCTTGATCTTGTATTCTCTGCAGATCTTCCAATGCAGGTAGGTTGCTGCTTTGTTATGTCGGTGAATGTACTCTGTCTTTGCCAGTTCTGGGCAGCCTGAGATGATGTGGTCAATGGTCTCTTCGTATCTTCCACAGATCCTACATTGTGGGTCAGTTCCATCTTTGATGATGTGATGGTGGTAGGCTCTAGTGGCCAGACTCTGGTCTTGTGCAGCAATGATCAGGCCTTCTGTCTCAGTTATTATTATTATTATTATTATTATTATTATTATTATTATTATTGTCATCAGTTCATTGATCACCACCAATACTTCATTGATTCTTAATTATTCCATTTCAAACCTGTCCTGAAATATTCTTCATCATCAAAATATGCTTGTAAATGACTTCTTCCTTGGATGGCACTTTGAACAAAGAACTAAGAAAATTGCACTTGTATTTCTTCTACAAGAGGACAAAGAAGACCATAGACTGCACTGAAGACATTCAAATACAGGCAAGCCTACACCAGTTGTAATTAAAATAAAGGCGTTATTGTTTGTAGTGCCAGCTGTGGTATAACTGGACTCACCTGAAGTACTCCTCACTGGGACTCCTAAACTGTGGCAGTGTGGCGTTAACTACAGCCGTTATCGCTGTGGTGATGGTCTCTCCTATGTCCACCTCTGTATCTGGACTCTGGGTAGTGTTACTGGCCAGGAAGGCAGCCAGGTTAACACTGGAGATATTGGGGAGACTGGAGGTCAAGTTGCTGTCTGTTAATACTGAGGAGAGAGGTGTGGATTTAGTAGGAGCTGCTGTGGTGGTGGTGGTCAAGTTGGACTGTATGGAGTAGGCATTCTCTGAACACACTGGAAGAAAATGAGAAGAAAACAATAAATCTGATTTTAATATACATTACACAATCAACGTCAGTAACATTTATTATCATATCAATATCGTTACTTAATTTAATTATTCAGGTTGACTCACCCAACAAAATCACAACCATCATTTCATCCAGTATTACAGATTAAAGACTGTCTATGTGTCTACTTACAGGGTGTATTCCATGTATTATTACAGTGGGCCCAAGGCAAGTCGGCAGTCATGGAGGCAAAGAGGTAATATAGTGTCCAGGCAATGATAACATTGTAGTATATGGCAACAAGACTGGAGACTATCACCATGGCGTACCCAACTCCTACAATATAATAACAATATCTCTTTAATAACAATAATTTCTATTCCATATTATGATAGATATATACTAGATAATATAATGATAATTTAGAGAACATCTCATTGTTTCACATTAGTCATCTTTTCTGAATTTAAAATTAATTCCAAGTAATATATTCAAAAAGCTTATTATACAAATTTGTTTACAAACATTTTCCATTGTTAAGAAGGTTAACAATTCTGAATAGTAAACAGATGCAAAAACTAAAATAAGGAAAAGAAAAAAAAAGACCCACAAAGAAATGAATAATGGTTGTACATGATCATGATAACGATGCTAATATTGATGATGGTGCTTATATTCACATTGACGATCATACTGTAGATAATGATCATATTGATTATTATAATGATGACATGATGGTGAAAATGTGAAGACATTAACCCTGAGTTAACAGCACACCCACCTTTAAAGATGGGCGACACCTTCCATATGGTGATGGGCCCCAGGCTGGCAAACTGCCCAAATGCCAGCTCCAGGTAGAACAGAGGAACTCCAATGAACAACAACATGATTACAAATGGAATGAAGAAAGCACCTGAAAATGAGAACAAGTTACGAAGATATCTATCACTGTCTGGGCATGAAAGGTGTCTAATTCATGGGTTTATAGCAAAGGCTACTGAGCTCTTGTTGATAGTTCTTCTGATTTATTGGAGTTAGCAATTACCTCCTGACACTAAAGGCTGTGGTCGTTTGGTAAAAACATAGGAAATTGCGACAATCTATCACTGAATACATCAATCTGTGTTGTTTACCACATTCTATTCAGCTTTAAGAAATATATCTTATAGAGATACAAATTCTGTTTCTTGACGCCCAGCATAAATCTGTACAAGACTGCGTGATATGTTCACAAATTACCATAATGAACCCAAAAATCTGCTAACAATAAACCAAGGGATCATACAGTCCCAAAATCTTTACAAAAATGTATTACATCACAGAACATGTGTTATAATGTATCTATATTCAAAAACATCAATAACATCAAATGTTTCAAGCCAAAATCTTGCTCAGGATTATTTTCCCATTACCTGACTACATTCCATCCTGGTTGACAAATAAAACACCAATTCAATCTTCGAATCATTTGTCCAACAGTAATTTACAACTGGTGTTTTTCACCTGGTAGATAACTTCCCATAAAAGGTCTTTTTTTACATAAATCAAATCAATTCAATCTTAGAATTATTTTTCCAACAGTCTTTTAAAATGGGTGTTTTTTTTTCATTTTTTATATAGATAGTTTAACTTCCCATAGATCTTTTTTTACATGAACATTATAATATCACTGTTATCCTACCTCCACCATTCCTATAGACAAGATAAGGAAACCTCCATATGTTTCCCAGCCCCACGGCATACCCTAGGCAGGCCAGGAAGAACTCCACCCTGCTCGTCCAGTTGCCACGCTCTTTATTTTCATCTTCTCCACTGTGGACGTCCGCCCAGCTCGTTTCCGCCTCGATGACGCCACGGAAATCTTCCATGGCAGACTCGGTCTGGCTCTGATCCCGGCCCTGGGAAGACGGAAATGTAGACACATTTTAGTTGGGTTGTTCAGGTGTGTATCTGTTACCATAGTAACCTAAGTATCAGAACCAGTGGATGCCAGGTTATTATTAAATTTGGATATATTACATAGAAATTTAACAGTGAATGAGCTGAAATATATCCATATAAATTGTGTATGCCCTCTTATGGTAAATGCCTTGCTGATCAAAAAAAAAAAAAAAAAATATATATATATATATATATATATATATATATATATATATATATATATATATATATATATATATTACTGGAAAGGAATAAAGATATCTACTTGCAACTTCAGCAATCTAGCTGTTCATCTGTTGGTATATTTCAGACCAACATCTAAATCATTTTATTCTGGTGTGTATCTGTTACCATAGTAACCCGAGTTTCAGAACCAGTGGAAGCCAGGTTATTATTAAATTTGGATATATTACATAGAAATTTAATAGTGAATGAGCTGAAATATATCATGAATATATAATATGAATTTTGTATGCCCTCTTATGGTAAATGCCTTGCTGATAAAAAAAATAAAATATAAGTATGACTTTGTTATTGCTGTAGTTTGCTTGGATAGAACAGTTTTATACCAAGCTGTTACATGTCTGGAAAAGTATAGATATCTCTTTGCAACTTCAGCAATCTAGCTGTTCATCTGTTGGTATATTTCAGACCAACATCTAAATCATTTTATTCTGAACACAGCTTAATACCTTTTTTCATCTTCTTATATAATTACTTTGCAACCTGGGCAATCAATTCATCTGTTGGCATATTTCAGACCTCAAACAACATCTCATTTTATTCTGTACTAGCACACAGCTTTATATCTTCTTACTTTTCTACCTGTCTGTTCCTACAGCATATGTTTCAAGGAAATAAGGAACGCCCAGAATGTTTCTACAGGAATGATTCTTACATATCTGATTGGCCTGCTGGCAACAATATATTGAACCCAAGCAGAGATAATGGCATCAGGACACGGCAAACAAATTAGCTTAATTCTACAGGACTTATAATGAGAAAAAATACCCATAAATATATCTATTGATAAATTTAATCAGATTTCATTAGTTGCTACACCACACTTGTTATTTGGTCATTATTCCTGACCTCACTCTCCTTTAAATCCCATGGAATCTTGTTTGATCACACAGCAAGTCTAGTATACTACCCGTAAATATAAGTCTAACCTTTTCTTACAAGTGTCTATATGAGTTGATCAGCTACTAGTACACAGTAAACATCACAGCTATTGAGTTCTTTTACCTGCACTCATAAAATATAAACACACACACTCACACACACACACACACACAATTCATAAACATCAAAAATTTCCTTTAAAACATTTCACACATCCACAAATGAGACAGAAAAATTGTCATTGGACATAGCTTTGTTTGGCCATTATATAATGAACACATAATATAATGTATAGCAGTAAAGATGCACTAGCACATACTGATACCTATTTATCATTCACAATATTTAATGTCCATTTGAAATCCTTTCTGAGAAAATTTCAACCGTATTAAATTAAACTAAATCAAAGAAAAATTTACACATACAGGTAACATTACCAGAAAAACACTTACTGAGCACAGACTTCTGCTTTTTAATTTTCATTATTATCAATTGATTAATTAATTAATGGACCAACACCCAAATCAGCATATATCTGACCTATCCAGAAAATATCATTAAAACCTCTGTCTATAACATTTTGAGTTGGGCTGTAATTAAAAATACTAACAAAGGTAAAAGCATAACCTTCTTGGCATAGGTATTAGACATCTATTATATGAACCCACACACAAAAAAGTGTAGACTTACCACCATGACTTTCATATACACATCAGCAAACTTTTCCAATAGAGCTCTGCTGCTATTGCTACTACTACTGCTCACACTGGCACCATCAAGACCATCCCCCTCACTACTACTACTATTACTGCCAAACTTCAGGTATCTTTCCAAACTGTTACTGCTATTGCTTTCACTGATATTATGGCTGCTATTGTAACCGTAGCCATTATAATAACGCCTGCTCCCATCCCACTTCATGTTCAACCCCACTATAGGATCCAGCATTTTGGAGGTCCTGCCAGTAGGCTGTAAAGAAGGTTATTACATGCCAGCTCTCACCACCTCCTGCATATATATCCAACTTGGTGCTAAACACCACATGTGCAATTTTAGGCCAACATAAATCTTTACTACGCCATTCACATGAAGGTTCGGAACTATAAATTCATGGAGTAAAATCATAATGCTTTCTTGGGTACAAGATTACACAATTTTGTTTTTATTACTAAGTAAGCCTTATACAGATTAAAAAAAATTAAAATATAAGTCATATTATCTATAAGCACACCACATTTCACCGAAAAATAAAGGCCAGATTCTGCTTATCAATTTACAAGACAACACCACAGGGAATGCACTGTAAATGCAGGTAGAAATATCAACATCCCATGCACATAACATTTAGACATGGATATCAACAAAGACCTGGATCCCTGATATACACCTAAATTCTCCTTAAAGTTAACTTATTATCAGTTTTATTTAAAAACTTTCTACCTAACTAATTAAATATATATATATGTAATGTATTTTTATATATCTTACTTCCCTTAGTTTAAATGAAAACATCTCCTTCCTCTTTAAAAATGTATTGCATACATATACTAGTAATAAAAATTCTTGGCAACTGGCCATCTTTTCCAATTATATCCTCCGCCATACCTGTGTAATTATTGCATACGTCTTACTACAAGACATCTAACAGACAAGTAGATGCTGAAACCAACTCTAAACTGGGAACAAACCATGTTTACATGTATTTGTAACGAGGTATTGATATACAAGACTAATGTGCACATCAACAACATAACTCTTATCCTAATAGCATTTGTAAAGGACTTCATATCAGAAAGGACACATAATATACATCATTATATAATCATTAAATGTACTACTTGGTGCTTTAACTGCTTTGATATTATATCCTCCAATTATTCATGTACATTCTGTTTGGCATATCTCACTTACCTCTAATAAAGTCAATCTTTTCCCCAAGCCCAATACTCAGCTGCAACTTAAAAAATTGCTAACAACTTCTGTTGGGTTATTCTGATAATGTCTAAAATCACTGTCTAGTTGCCCTAAAAATCAGTGCCGATGCCTTGCAATCTTTACCGATATATCAGAATCAGCCGAGATATTCTGGCACCAATGCCCAGGTTTTGGAATCAGAAGAGATATTTTCCTCAAGTCAATTCAACAGTTTCCTGTGAGATAACTAAGATAACGTTTAAATGAATCCATATTTCATCCTGCCAAAGTAAAGTAATAAGGATGTTTCTGGAAAACAAAGATAAAAAACGCTTCACGAACTCCACTTTTCATGATAAAGAGATGTCACTTGCATCCATGGCAATGACCTAAGTTGATCTTAGCCTTTCTTTGTATTAAGAACTACATTCAATCAGTAAGCTGCATGACTGAAGTCACACAACCACCAGTATCTGCTGTGACAATGCCATCGTTAGGCCAGACAATACTGATATGTTGATTAACAAGAGCAACTAACCCTCATATTTAGGAAATCTGATTTTTTACTCCTTTTTTTTTTTCAAATGGAAATTACACAATAGGTATTATAGTGGTCATAAAAGTGGCAGAAATTTAAGAATGATGCCAGGAAAAATCTTAATGCTGTTTATTTACACTATTAAACTGCTCACATTGTGGCTTAATTAGACTCCCCCTTCCCCCACTCCCTAAAAGAAAGAAAAAATAATGAATGAAAAATCCTGACCAACCCTAAAATTTGTCTGTTAAGCTCATAAAACATCGAATATTCTAAATACAAAAATAAATTCCATCTTCTGACACTGTTTACAAAGAGTGTCTGCCCGTTAGCTGACTTATTACTTTTATCTAGCCTTATCCAACAATTGCCAGTGTAGAGGTTTTTGCTTAATATACCTGCTACCTCGATATGACATCTAATTTAAGAGTAAGATTCACTAATGAGAAGCTCTGACTTGTTTTAACAATGGCTATATGAAGATAGTTCTGGCCTGTTGTCAGCATTGTTTCAAAACTTTTTTCTTGAATGCTGACTGTGTAATCCCCAAGGGGAATCTATTCAATGTCTTATTAGGAATTAAGCAGCAAGCTTTTTAGTGGGTTGCCATATTTGATCCACAGATCTGTTAGTCTGTTGTTCTGGATGTGCTCTAAACCTAAAAGTACACATAGTATTATATATATGTATAAGCCTAGGCCAGGTGAGTAACCTCATGTATACAGGTCTATAAAATCAAATAAAATATGGTATGGAAGTGGTTTTTATACCAGCAAAATTGAATTTCATGCTGTGTGTCAATTTTTTGTTACAACATAAGTCAATTTAGTTAAGTGCTACTGCTGAGGTTCAAATTCCATACCTGCACATCTCTCAACATGATTATTTGCTTGCACGCATTTATTTTCAGCACAAATGGATGAGCCTAATAAGACTCCATGTGTTCAAAACACTTCAAGAGTTCATAGCAAACAGAGAATTAATTAGTACCTTATTGCTGCAGTATCATTTTTGACAGGGTTAATACATAAATTTTACAGGCATGCTTTGAATTTACAGTCACTGTGAAGGAGCAGGCAGACAGCCAAAAAACAACATCAAGTTTTTTCTCAATACCCCTTCTGTCGAGGAAAAAATCATTACGTTAACTGCTTCACTAACATCAAAGTTTTCACGTAGGAGTTTTTGTCTCCTGTTGCATCTATCAACTATAGAATAAAAGGCCAGCAGTTGCACTTGACATTTAGTCCGGTGTTTTCTTTTCTCTTTCTTAGATATTTCCAATCTATCTTTGATGCACCAAATGAACAGATAGAAATCTCTTGTGTTCTAGCTTGAATTGGAGAGAAGGGATTTTTACATCAAAATAAATCATCTTTC